GTTCTCCTTTCGGGGCATTTTGGTCTGTGCGAGCGGATCAGGTGGGCTAGGCGGCTGAGCGAACTCTATTATCAAATTCTGATTGAGTGGGAAGGCCTCTCAATTTTTGCTGGCAAATGCTGACTTGACGCACCAGCAAGACTGTAGCTGCTGTACAGAGTGTGGTTCATGAACTTGTAAGCGGATCCTCTTGCTCTGGGTACAAGGCGTAGCATAACAGCTGCGCTGCTACAGCAAATCCATTGGGCACAATTTTGTTGTCAGAATTCTCGTTGTTTCCGAGGGGCAGCTGGTCCTCTGTTGATGCCCTTGATCTTTCTTAAAGTCTAAACCCAACAATGCTGATGGACACCCTAAACCCTAAACCCTACACCCTAAACCCATAAGGGCCATAGAAAAAGAAGACCCCAAGCCGCAGGCGACATAAACAGCGACAGGGCCACTGACGATGAGCACTCGCAGCATCTGCGCCGATCTGCTGCCCCAACTGATTATGAGTTCAGGGTTTAGGGGTTTAGGGGTTCAGGAAGTATCGGTTCCGATTCTAGAAGGTTGTATTTGTTTTATCAGATTTCAGGTTTCCTTTCAGGCTGGCCTGGCGTTAAGTAGATGGACTATGGCTTTGGGTATGTTATCATAAGATCCCCATATACCCCATACTCTAGCCATTTAAGGGGGACTATAGATAGATTAGAAAGTCCGGAGTTGTTTCTTCACTCCAAACTCCCAGCTCCAGACAACTGGGAGAGTGGGAACCCTCTAAACCCTAAACCCTGAAGCCTAAACCCTATACCCTACACCCTAAACCCTAAACTCTATACCCTAAAGCAATTGGGAGCACATCTTCCCAGTGATCCATGCATTTCCCAACGTTCTTGCTTGGTTTCCATCAGGAGTTTTTCAGGTGTAGGCGACCTTGGCTGCCAAACCTAGCAAACGTGGACCGTGAAAAGTGAACTCAGCTCAAGGAAGCCGTGTAAAATCGCTGAAGTTAAGGCGGTGACCACGGCCCACATTATGTATGAAATTACGTTAGACACCACCATTACGCAGCAATGGCAGCATCGTTTAGAGTTTAGTGTTCAGAGATGTGGAAGCCCAAGCCCTTTATCTGAGCTCATGAACTCAGGTTCTAGTGGGATCCAGTGGAGTGAGGTCTTGCGCTCAGTCTTGCAAATCAGGGCACCCTGCCGCAAGCAAACATGGACCCCCTTTTCACGGGCAGTGGTCTTTGAGTGATGCATAAGTCTGAGTGACCAGCAATGCTCTCCTCCTTGTGCAGTCCTTCCACGTCCCATAGATGGTCTACCACAAAGTCCTGTTCAGGTTGTTGGGGTTGGCATTCTGGGTACTATGATAGGGGTATGTATTGGGGATGATCTAGGGAGGATTATGGAGATCCGCTCCTCTTGTTCCCGGCAAGCACCAGTACCACAAAGGCTGCCTGTGGGCGTGCCGGGCAGAATGGGCGGGCGCATCCCGATCCACGCAACTTGTCGGCCCGTTGAACAGTCCGACTAGAAACTACTACATTATCATAGGGTATATATTCGGTGGTAGTATAGGGATAATGGAAAAGAAAACGGGAACTGCTGTTTCGGGTTTAGGGGTAGGAAGCCCAGTGGTATCCTTTACCCTTTCTGGGGTTCCAGGTTCCTTCGTAAGAATAGCCAACCAGAATCAGGATACCCTTATTGTAATATGGCTGCTGGGCTACCAATACGACAACAGACTGGGAATGGTAATTATGGCATTGGTAGTTATGAGGAAAACATTCCTAAGCCCCAAACCCCAAACCCTAAACCCCAAACCCTAAACCCTAAACCCCAAACCCCCAGCCCTAAACACTAAACACGTAGTGAGAACAGAAGACTTGAGTGTGGGTGCATGAGCTCAGCTTTTGGGAGCTCTGCTGCAACTTTCAGATTTAGAACATGTGGATGCCTGGGTGCCCGCCGCAAGTTGTATAGTGGCACAGTATTTGGGGTTTAGGGTTTAGTGGTATAGTAGTCGAGTATATTATCATCTATTTTAAGGTATTCTGGTCTTTGATGCTAAATTATGGTTTAGTATAGTAGGATAGTAGTATAGTAGGATAGTCGTACGGTAGTATATTAGTATAGTAGCAATCCCTTCATTTGGAGGCTCCCTAATTTGTTGCAAGGACTTGGGTAACCCTTTCCGCTTTTGCCTTTTGCTTCTAAGGACTCGCCAAAGTTGAGGCCTGACATCGCGGCTCCGATTGTGGAGGACTGGGTCTACATGTGGGTTTCCCAAAATTAGGGCTAACATAGGGATAATGGAAAAGAACATGGAAGCTACCATTTAGGGTTTAGGGTTCATGGTTTCCCAAGCCTAGGGGTCTCACTTTGGGGTTCCCCAAAAATAATGATTGTAGTATGCTGAGGTCTATATTGGAGTCCCCCCTATTTAGGGAAACTGTCACATCTTGGGTGCTACATGGCCTAGGCGTTGCAGTGATGTTGCATAATGAGGTGTAGTCTAAACTCCTCAAAACGGATTATAAGAGAGTATCTGGGGGACTATGATAGGGGTATTTAAGGGGGATACTAAACCCTAAATCCCAAACCCTATACTAGGGGTTATTAAGGGGGATACTGGGAGTTTAGACTATAACCCCTATAGTTACCTATATAATCCCAGTTTCCATTTCATTTTCCATTTTCCCTAAACCTATATAATCCCAGTTTCCATTTCATTCTCCATTTTCTAAACCCTAAACCCTAAACCTATATAATCCCAGTTTCCATTTCATTTTCCATTTTCTAAACCCTAAACCCCAAACCTATATAATCCCAGTTTCCATTTCATTTTCCATTTTCTAAACCCTAAACCCTAAACCTATATAATCCCAGTTTCCATTTCATTTTCCATTTTCTAAACCCTAAACCCTCAACCTAAATAATCCCAGTTTCCATTTCATTTTCCATTTTCTTTTCCATTTGATTCTCCATTATTAGCTCACATGAGGTAGAGCTCCAGGCGGCTCCAGACCCTCTAGGAAATCCTGGGTTCCTTATAACCTGAGTCTGATGAGTTTAGGTTTCGGAGTTTAGGGTTTAGGGGTTTAGGGGTTTAGTTTCTTTTTTAAGGTTTAGGGTTTAGGGGTTTAGGGTTTAGGGCTTTCTTGGAGTGTTGGTCCTGGACAGGATGGTTTGACAAGGTATTGGAGAAGCCGGAACAATTTCAAACAATTTTATCTTCAAGATCCCTTATGCAAGTACTGTATAAAAATTCCCCAAGCCCCGACTCGGATTTTCCACTTGGACATACTTGGAAGCAAGCAGTGTCCGACTTGGCGCTAGGAAATCCGCCTCGAGGAGGGAGCTGCTTGGCAGCGCTCAGTGGACCGCCGAAGCACATATTGGGGTCCCCAAAATTAGGGGTTATGTAGGGATAGTGGAAAATGTAATAGGATTCAGGGTATAGTCTAAACTCCTTAAAGGGGGTTATATAGGGGAGTATTATAGGGGTTATTAAGGCGGATACCAGGAGTTTAGACTATGGGTCATATAGCCCCAGTATAGCCCCTCGTCGCATATCCACATAAGAGCTACGTAATCCCCGCTTGTTCATGACTAGTTCTTATATACCCACATACTCATACGTTCTGCTCCTTACTCACAATACCCGCCGATATAGCTGTATCTGTTTCTTGTAGCATATCCGTGTTAAATCCTCGTATGCGTCTTATATACCATACTGCCATACTACAGCCATACATACCTCGAAAATGCTCTCAGAACGCATTCGTACATACTTCTTCCATGATGGCTGTTAGGATGCCCTTTCTCGGGCTAAGCGATGTAGAATTAGGCTCGGTCAGGACTGTACATTGATACTTCTCGGTATAGCCATATGGACATACCCCTTGCAAAACGTGTGCCTATGTGCCTACGTACTTGTTTTTCCATACCCCCTCCCACCCGCCTTTACCTTCCCTCCTCTCCCCCCTGGCATCGCGCTTATCCATAGCTGTAAACATTACACCCCATACCCCCTGAACCCTAACCTCCAAGCAATTATCCCTAAACCCTAAATCCTAGACGCTAAGCCTCCACATATCCCAGCAGGCTCTCGGTAGGAAGTAGCCGGCCCAGGCCCCAACAGTGGCCGATGCCGCGCCGGTTTTGCACAGGACGAGAACCGCCCCACAGCTGAGGCGACAGGGCCCGTCCCTACACATACAGAAGATAAAGGGATACTAGGGATACAGGGATACGATTTATAGGGCTATAGGGATACGATAGAGCTAGATCGGTATATACAGGGATAGGCTAGGGAACAGAACATGGCAACTATTACTTGGAGTTGAATGGAAAAGAGAAGGGAGACTGCCATACTACTTGAGGTTTAGGTTTCTTATGGAGTTGAGGGTCCAGGGTTTGGGGTCGTTCTGATTAAGCTGAATGGAGAATCACATGGAAAGCCACAAGGAAGATTAAAGGGACACTGGGAGTTTATGGGTCCATACGAGGACTAGTTATGGGGTACTGGTTATCAAAGAAAGGAACACGTTCCACATTTCTTGGGGTTCAGGTTCAGGGTTCTTACCTACTGGTAAGTAGGGAATGTAAAAGAAAGCGGAAAACCTCTAGGCAAGAAGCAATGGAATGCAGGTACTATTCTTGGGGACTCTGTAGAGGTTACGATAGGGACCCTCTAAACCCTGAACCCTAGACCCTAAACCTCCATTCCGCCATTCCCCGCCTATCATCCGCGAGCCTACCAATCTACAAGGTGCACTGTGCCCTTGGAGTCCTGGAGGTTCAGTGTACTTATATAGGGTTTAGGGTTTAGGGATACTAACTACACGTTTCACATCATTCCAAGCCCCCTCAAAGTCCCCTGATAGAGTTTGATTGCGTCATAGTCCCCCTGAGCCTGCGCGTGTAGTGTTTGTAGGGTTCAGGGTTGCGGGTTTGGGGTTTAGGGTCGCTGGAAGGCATCCGAAAAGCTTTGCGGAGCAGCTGGATGAGATGGAAGCCCATAGCAAGCGGACACAGCAGGACGCCTCATGAGAGTTGTTCTAAGCTATTGGCGGTATGGGGTATCCTAGATAATTAGCAAGGAATACATGAAGATGGGGGCCAAAAGGAGAGCATGATTTTGAACACGCCCCCATATAATAAATACCCAAAACGGGGGCCCCTCGTAGAGCCCAAAACCTCATTGTAAGGCCCTTGAAAAAGGGTCTCTAAGTTTTTAAGAACCCCACACAGTGATGTAACCCCTATAACGCCTTCAAGCGGACCCCCAAACTTCTGGAACTTTCCAACATGTTGGCCAGTGGAATCCCAGGACCTGAAGAAAAGGAGGGCCAGATCTGCTCCAGCACAGGTAGACACGCAGGATTTTGACGCTGGCAATGTGCCGCTCGTCGAAGGTAGAACCCTGAATGGTTAAGAGCAGCATCCCTTTGTAAAGATCATAGCGCGCTGTATTCCTATGTTTAGGCCCCTACATAGCGCATCTCAAAAAAAGGTTGTCATGATGACCTTGTTATTGTACTTCAGAAGGTGCAAAGGCTTTGCCCTCCGTTATCTTCCATGCGGGCTTTCCATTAATAGAGGGTTCCAATGCAGGCCCCAATATCCTATAATCCTCATTATGGAGACTCCCAAAGAGGGGGACCCCAGCCCTTGACATTCATACATATCCCAGAGATACCCTCAGATTTCCCGATACAACCCTACAGAACCCTTTGAGCCCTTTAAAGCCGTCATCTCAGGATGAAGAACACGGCCGTGGCCCTTGCGCTGCAGGACGAGTTATCCAAAGTACTATCCATGGAGTGCTCTGAAGGCGCAAGGGCACCTGCCAAGCGGTTCCGGATACGTAGTCCCCCTCAAGTAGAAAGAACATGGCTTTGGGTATATTATAATAAGATCCCCATATACACCATATTTTATCTACTTAAGGGGGACTATACGGTTTAGGGTTTAGGGATTAGGGTTAGGTGATTATTGTCATGACTGTGGCTATTCTATGACGATGACCGTGACGACTTGCAGGTTACTCGTATCATAAGCTCAGCAGTGCTGATGCAGCATGCCCACGTCTTGATCAACATAAGTTGCAGGTTCACTAGCTGCCAGCTTGCTAACACTGAATCGTGGTTGTGGCTAAATGGTCATGGTTAGCATGAGGGAGCCAATCCCCATCACTAACAACTCACCCAATGCCTGACCCCTATCCCTTAGTCCTTATGTCTCTTTCCCCAGGAAACTCCCTTCCCGACAGAGTGTCTGTACAACTCCATGGGTAGCGGATAAAAATGTACCTGCCCTCATCCGAGTCATCCGACTTTCCGAAACGCCTGAGTTGAAACCAGCCCTGGACTAATCATGCGTCAGGTTGTGGGGTCTAGGGTTTAGAGCTAAAAAGGTAACCATGGGGCACGTAAAGCCCCTAAACCATGGAAGGTCCGCTGAACCTCTTCTGGCGGCCTCTCGACAGTCCAGTAGGTTTGCACACGTCCGGCTGTGTAGGGGTCCGGTTTAATGGGTTTGGGGTTGCTGCAGGGGTCTGGGATTCACCGGCTACCGCAAGCGTGCTGGAGTTTTTGAGTTACATGTTCGCAGTAGCGCTCTACTAGGGACAGATTGGAATTGGAGTGCTCGGCGGAACTCGCATGCCCCAAGGACATTAGCCTGCACATCATGCCGACATGCACTGTTATGACTTTTGTGATGCTGTTCACATTCAGGGACATGGGGCCTTCTCAACGTCATGGGTCCCTTGGAGGGCTCCCATGATCAGGATCTTGCGATCTTGGGGGTGCAACGGGCCTTTCATTCTTACCCGTACCAACATTTTGACTACCAAGACAGTTTTTCTCAAATTCACTGGCTTTAGATCTGATCCATGGTTTGGGGTAATCCCCCCCCACCCAACACTTAGATTACTTAGATCATAATGCTGTTGTTCTACATACAGCTCCTGATATCATCCAGTAACTAAATCAAAGCCCTGTAGAGCTTTCCAAAGCCTAAAGCCTCCATCTAAGATTCTAACCATGGGCCCCTGTTGTGGGCCCCTCTGTTTCGGAGATCCCTTCTACTTGCCCTTGTTGGGTTCGTAAGGCTCTATAGTCTGTTCAACAGCTGTACCATGACCCCAAAGTCAAGGGCCAAAAGACTCCCATGGATCCAACCTGAGACCCCACTTGCAGCCCCTACACCCGCAAACCCTAAACCCGTTGAACCCCTAAACACTAAACTCAACACCGAAAGCCCTGAAAGCTTGAATTTGACGAGGCAGGGGCGTGATGAAGGAGAATCAGCAGAGCTCATGCGACTGCGTCCTGTGGGCGGCAGTAGGTATTGGTTCTGACATGGGAGTTTCTGGAATCGGGGGTGCCCTTTCAAACCCTAAATGGGGGATGGAGAACTCTGCCAGACCCTTTGCAGGATTACGTGTGCAATTTCGGGAAGCCCCTCTCGGATGAAGCATGCACACGAATGTGGAAACATGGCAGATAGAGATCAGTCAGAGTCATGCGTGGCTGAGTAAAACCAAAATCTCTGTACTGAGCTAGCTGTATGGATCGCATCAAGTCTATGTGGTTCCCTATGTTGGCGACCCACCTCAAAGTGACCTAATTACACTTTTCAAAATCCCCATGACTAGCCTCGAGGTCTGAGTAGGAGTAGGGACGTAAGATGAGGTATCGTGCCCTGATGAGGACGTCATGCACTTGTAGTCAGACACAAGAACCAACTGCAAGCATGAGACTTTCCTGGCGCAGGCATTCAAAGTTCGCACAACTTTAGCAGGTGCTCTTTGCAGGCAGGTCTCCTCAAATGTCAGGATAACAGGTTCAGAAATTGAAGTGTTGGTTTTCCTGCACCAGCGCTCCGCCGCCTTCAACCCCCCATTTGCTCCGCCTTAGCCCACCCCTTAAACCCACCTTTAAACCCACCCCTTAGCCACCCCCCTTGAAGTCCCCCCTGAGGTTTCAATGTCGGTGCGTTGATGCTCCTTGCCGCGCAGCGTTCGTCGTTGCCATCTGGCCTGGAGTTGCCGCTGAAGCACTTTGTCTGGGCCCCGGCGGGTAGCTATATTGGGATAGGTAGGGGGTTTAGGGTTTTGGGTTTAGGGTGGGTATACTGGGATATACAGGGATATATAGGCATTGAAGTCACAATAATGGATAATAAGATGGAAAAGAACATGTAGAATGAACTGGAAACTGGTGTTGTGCTGGGTGTCATAGGAATTAGCAGAAAGCACTACGTTGGATGGAGGAACTCTTGTACGCCTTGTGTACTACTAATGTAATGATCAAACGATCTACAGTCTAAACTCCTTCAAGGGCGTTATATGGGGGGACTACTTTAGGGCATATGAAGGGGGATACTAGGAGTTTAGACTATAGCTCAAACAGTGGCAGATCGCATTGGCCTACAAATTGTGGACCAGCATGTCTTCTTCGAGGGGACAAAAGCTGTGAGAGGCGGATATCTGGGTGTCTCTGAGAATGGCTCTGAAATGTTCACAAAAGGAACCTACTGTTTCGATGCGCTTTCAAAAATAGCCACATGCTGGGAAAGACTTTCTTCATTGAGGCCGCGACCGAAACAATTGGTGGCATGGCAGCAATGGAAGCCAGGGCTCTGACATCAGATTGTAGAGAACACCCTACAACCTAAACCCCTGAGCCCCACAGCCTAAACTCCTGAACCCTAAACCCGAAACCCCTAAACCCCTAAACCCTAAACCTTGGGCGGGTATGAATCCGGGGTGTACATGATACACAGTCGCAAGGCTTCTGTACATCATCCCACACACGACTGCTGTACTTCCCGTCTGCCAATGTTTTCAAGCTAGGGTTCGCCCCTGAGAATGGGTTCAAAGGGACGACAATTCTGTTACTCACATATGCTCCGTAATTGCGTGCTCCCCGGTGCTGGTGGGGGGGCCCCAAACCTCGCTGCCTGAAGCCTTTTAGGGTATTATAAGGGTAGTATAAGGTATGATAAGGGTATTGTAAGGTAGCATAAGGGTATTACAGGAGTATTATAAGAGTATTATAAGGGTAATATAAGGGTATTAGAAAAGTATTTCAGGGTGTTGTAAGCCGCTAAGTCCACTGCAGGCGTCAAGGAGGAGCTGGAGCAGAGCCATGAGCATCCTATTGGCAACGTGGACAAACAAAGCGCCCCCCTCATCGTGCTAAGACTCGGGGGTTGATTTGGGGCTTTCCCAAAATTAGGGGTACCATTTTAGGGGTTCCTACAATGCAGATTATACTACATTGGGGTCTATATATGGGTCCCGCATTATTCTCCAAAGCCCATGAGCCGAATAAGTCCCTAGGTGCGAAAGTTGTGTATATAGTCAGCCTGATATGGGTGGTTGTCAAAATTATGGTCCCTTTCTGGCTCACTATTATAATACGGCACCTAACATTTAGGGTACCCAAGAAGGGACCATAACTTTGACATCCACCCCATATGAAGCCGAGGTACGGATGTTGCGGAACCAGTGGAGAACAGCTTACAGCTCAGCAGGGAGATGATGTCAACCTGTATGACTTGGGTCCTGGAACCACCCAGTAACAGCCTATAATAGGGGTTGGGGTTTAGGGTTTAGGGTTTAGGGGTAATATTAAGGGCTGTATAAAACCAGAATATAGATATGATCCAACTGTTGCTGGGTGGGGGCAGGACTCAATGCATGACTGAACTGCATTATTGTGGAGTTGTCCACTTAGGACAGCCGCTGTTCACCACAACCATCGCGGATGGGGCCACGCGGCAAGCACAAGCTGCCTTTTTTTGACAGAGAGGGGAGTTTCCCAAAATGATCCCAACATAATCCTTGAATTGCAATCTTCTTGCAAGCTCTATCTCCCCGAAGGGCCCCTATGGAACTCCGTGGACCCCGGCTTGGAAAGTACCCTCGAATGTACACCCATACAGTGCACCTCGCCAAGGCTTTTGCCATGGGCTTCTCGGTCATCTTCCATAGCATGCCCAGCTCTCACTTTGCGCGTGCAATGCTCAGTATTCCCAGGATGGCCTTGCACTAGACCGCAGCTGTGAAGAAACGGTTTCAAGGCAGCTGAAAAGTTTGCAGCGCTACGGTCCCCAATAAGAAAGGTTTCGCGTAACCTATAGCCCCTCTGATAGTCCCTACAACCCATTCCCATCCATTCCCCGATTTCCACTTGGTTAAATCCACATTTTCCTCCAGGATCCCAAAACGACCACCAACTTCGCTATGCTGTACATGTTTATATCCCTCCCTACCCTTCCCCATATTCATATGTCACCATACATTTCTACATATTCTGATATACCCTTATTATCCTCACATACTCTCACAAACCCGTAAAAACCTCCGCGGCCCGATATACCTCCATTTGGCGATATACTCTTTCAAGGCACCTCTCCGCTGGGCGCGGGTGCTTTCCATCTTGGGCTGCCCCATGCCATGCTGGAAACCATCAATGCCGGGGCCTTACCAGAGGTATGCAGGATATAGGGTTTGGGATTTAGGGGTAAGAAAGGGTATACAGGGAAATATAGGGGCACGTAGGATATGGGGTTCCTTGATGGAGAGTCAAATGGAAAAGAAAATGGAACATGACATGCAAGCC